CGTTCTGCGGCATCTCGTGGAAAGGGGGCCCATTGCGCCCGTTTGCGGGGTCTCAAGGATGTGACCATTCGTTGTCCGGGGCCCGAGTGGCTTCTCATGTACCGCAGCACAAGTCCACATCTGTCTGCGGAGCTACTGCTGATTTACATTCCCTGGTGCCGACTCTCATCCTTCCAGCATTTCCTGGGTTTGTAAATATGGGGCTGGCGGTTACACAGCCAGGGCTGATGGTTTTGATCAGGCTCCAAGCAGCTGTTGATGTTTGTGGACAGCAGTGGAGTTTGTCTGCTTCCCCGCTGTGCTCAGCTGCTAGCAGGGCCAGGCTGAAGCCAGGGGCTGCAGGGAGTTCGGCTCCTTGCAGCCTAGAAGGTATGAAAGGAGCAGGACTCTGGGCAGCCTGGCACGGGCGCGTCCTGCTGCGTTGTTGGCTATGGAGTGCCTGCTGCCTGTGGGCAGCCCCGGCAGCTCTCTGAGCTGACGCCATGCTCAGGAGCCGCTGAGCAAACGTCACTGATCCCAGGCCCTCTGCCTTTCAGCATCCCCAAATCAATCAGGAGATTTGCACCAGGGACACTCCATTGATGACCCGCACAGCTGTAACCCTCTACTCAAGAGAAGCCCCTAAACAGAGATGGTCACAAGGGGGTGGGGAGGGGAGCCGTGGTAGCCGTGCGTCCAGCCCTGAAGCCATCCTGCCAGCACGGGTCAGGGCAGCTCAAGATGTGCTAGGAGAGGAGATGCTGCCTGCTCCTGCCCCCAGTGAGCCAGTGGGAGATTTGCTACTTAATTCACTGGGAGTAGGTTACAGCTGATCCCAGCAGAAGCAGCCTACACCCTGGCCAGTGCATTCTGCCTACCACAGCGTGCCAACTAGCTGGGGGCCTGGCATCCCTTTCTAGCCAAAAGTCCATAGCCACATGCCTTCCTTCTAGGCAGGATTCCTCCCTCTTTGGGGCTCCCTGTATCCCCCCTGTACCCACCCAAACCAGAGCAGGACTTTGGCCTTCACCTCCTAAGAGTTTTCCTGCTAAGTGTTTAATTTCTGAAAAGGTTTAGGAAGGTCTGAGGCTTTTTTCTACAGATATGTTAGGAGAGTAGCAGCCATGAGCCAAGAAGCAGAAAGTCACATCCTCTCATTCCATCTAAATTACTTTAAGATAATGTAATATCCGGCTGTTAAGAAGAAGACCCAGTCCTAATGGTACCCACCATCACCAGATAAACCGATCTTAAGATGTTTAATGAAAACTTTGTTTGACGGCATCTGTCTGGCAAGGAATCACCTATCAACAGCTGTGGGCATGAGATCGTCTTCTACTTCTTCATTGTTTTGCTTTTATGGTCCCCACTTCTCTCCGGTTTATCTATCTGGTTTCTATCTGGTTCTTGGATTGTTTCTGTCTGTTGCATAATTAATTTTACAAGATTTAAATCAACTAAGGTGGTGGGGTATGACTGGGTAAAGAATGATGTCGCAATACGTTAGGATTGGTCAAAGAATCATTCTGTAATATTGTAGTAAAATGATTGGTTAAGGTACAGCTAAGCAGGTCTCAAGTTTCACTATATAAACTGGGGTCCAAGAAGGAGAGCAGCTGGGAAGGAAAAAAGAAAGGGAAAGGGAGAGGGAAAGGAAGAGGAGGAGGAAGAAGAACTCACCTCCAAGACACAGCCTGAGATCAGAGCTGCTAGACTCCTGTGCATGACTGTGATGTGCAGCAATGAGAACCCAGAGGAGACCGACCTTGTCTGGCCAGCAGGGAAAGTCCCGCCTGCATGATCAGGATTGGTGAGCATAGCATTGTATGGCTTGGTGACTGTTAATAAACAGAGGTCAAGGATATTACTGGGTAAGGCTCTTTCACTAGTAAAAGGTCCTGAAAACCCACAGAAGGTTACGCCTTGAGACCATGCAAGGGTAAGGGTGGGTGCCCTAGAGTGTAGGGTTACGCCTTAAGCCCTAGGAACAGGGTAAAGGTGGGTACCCCAAGGTGTGCAGGTAACAGTTTGACAAGCCAGGTGAAACACTGGGCTGCATGCAAGGGCAGGGAGGGGACAGACCCCCGCCTTTCTAGGGCTTTGGGTGCCATCCAGGACCGGCTCTAGGCACCAGCAAAGCACAATTCCAGGGGCGGCGTTCCGGCCATCCCTTTTTTTTTGGCTTGGACAGTTGCGCTCTCGGAACTTGGAGCGGCAAAAAACCTAGAGCTGGCCCTGGTGCCATCAAACCTGGGGCAGCACCTGGGGCACCACATTACCAGAAAGCCATGGATGGACAGAAGGGGGCAGCTAAGCAGGAGCAATGAAAAGAAGCAGTGGGATGGAGCAACCCAGGAATGAGAAACAAATATAGGAGCCACATGGGTGTGCAGCTTGGCGAGGCAACGACCGCAGGGACTGGGGCAGCAGGCTACACAGGTCTGAAGGGTGTCAGCACCAAGGAAGGAGAGGAGGGATGGAGCATGGCACAGGAGCATGACCAGAACAGTTTGCATTCATTACAGGAGTCCCATAACACGGGACCATGGGTGGAAAATAAGAAGATTTTTAGACTGAGTCAGGAACAACTTGCTGTAAGTGGTAGCTGCAGAGTCTTCTGCAAAGGCAAGTGGCAGAAGGCCTAGTCTAGGCCGGGCGAAACCCCAGGAAAAATGCTGTAGGGAAGAAACCCACACTGGCCCCCGGGCGACATGGCTTGGCCACCTCTCCTTTCTCAGGTTCAGCAAGTACTGTTTCATTGTGGGGCATCCCTGGTATGTCACGAGGCCGTTCAGCTCGGGACACTGTGAGCATGCACTGGGAGAGGTGGAGGAGTTATTTTGATGTTAAGTCCCAAAAAGCAGCTGGGTATTGCTCCTGCAAGATATTATTGCCTGTTCTTTCAGTAGCACAAGCGTTTATACTCAGCTGCTGGGCCTGCTCCCCAGCATCCTGGGCACACTGAACGCCATTGTGTTTGTTCAGCCAGCTTCAAAGTAATAATAAGGCTGTATGAATCGTAAACAAAACTCCCTGTGAAGTTTCCGAGGAATCTAGTGAGCAGTGAGTTCAAAGGCAATTTCTCCTGCAGAGCTGCTGGGTCTTAGGAAGTCAGGCATCTGAATAAGTGATGACGCTTTAGCACTGTGCGAGCTACATTGGCATCGTTGCCCTGCTCCACTTACAGAAGATTAAACACACCTGCTTTGGAAGGCTGGGAGCCCTGAACCCAATCCCACAAACCACCTGCACTCCAAACTCACCTGGTGGGAGCCTCCAGCTGTGCTGGTCCTGCCAGCAAGCCAGATAACCATGCTCACAGCACAATGGCATCTCAGCTGTGCCAGAATGGATTCTGCCTCCGATCTCTTTGCCAATGCTCATGGGGTCAAAAGAGTTGGAATATTCTGGGCCCAAGTTGCTAAGTTTGGATCCGGATGGGGATGTGAATCCAAACTTCATACATTTGAGGAGTGTTCAGATCAGGGGCTTGAGGCCTGTCTCTAGTCCTTCTCTGGAGCCCATCATCACAAAGGTTAGTCTCAGGCCTGCCCTCTACACAGTGCTTATGGGTACAAAGAGCTAGTGCTGTATGGAGCTTATCATTCATAAATATTCAGGGTTTGTTTGTATGGTTTTTGATCGGAACACCCAGTCAAAAAGGGATCCTGGCGGCTCCAGTCAGCACTGCTGACCGGGCCGTTGACTGTCTGGTTGGCGGCACCATACAGCGGGACTGGCAGGCTCCCTGCTAGCTTCCACGCCGCACAACTCCTGGAAAGCAACCAGCATGTCCCCCTCCGGCTCCTACACCTAGGAGCAGCTGGGGGCTCCACACGCTGCCCCTGCCCAAAGCACCGCTCCCACAGTTCCCATTGGCCACGGTTCCCAGCCAATGGGAGCCGTGGGGGCAGCACCTGCAGACAGGGCAGCGCGCAGAGCCGTCTGGCCTTGCCTCTGCATAGGAGCCAGATGGGAGACATGCCGCTGCTTCCGGGAGCCGCTTGAGGTAAGCACTGCCTGGCACCTGCACCCTTGACCCCTTCCCCAGGCCCCAACCCCTTGCCCCAACTCCAGCCCTGTTCCTTCTCCCACCCTCCGAACCCCTCAGTCCCAGCCCGGAGCACCCTCCTACACCCCAAATCCCTCATCCCCAGCCCCACCCCAGAGCCCGCACCCCAGCCAGAGCCCTCACTCCCGCCCCACACCCCAACGTCCTGCCCTAGCCCTGATCCCCCTCCCACCCTCCGAATCCCTCAGTCCCAGCCTGGAGCACCCTTCTGCACCCCAAACACCTCATCCCCAGCCCCACCCCAGAACCCACACCCCCTCTTGCATCCCAACCCACTGCCTCAGCCTGGAGCCCCCTCCCGCACTCTGAACTCCTCATTTCTGGACCCACCCCAGAGCCTGCACCCCCAGCTGTAGGGCGCACCCCCTCCCACACCCCAGCCCCCTGAGTCAGCCCGGTGAAAATGAGCAAGCGAGTGAGAGTGGGGAGAGCCTCAGAGGAGGGGTGCGGGAGGGGTGGGGCAAGGGCATTTGGTTTTGTGTGAGTAGAAAGTTGGCAGCCCTGTTTGTTTGCAGGTGAGGAAAAGGCAGGGCACAAAAATAAACAACCAGCCAGCCCAGAGCCAAGACACACTCCGGGGCACAGGGTGGCTCAAAGGGGGGGCGGGGTGTTGGTGGTCAGTGGGATGCCCTCTCCCCTCTCAAGGGTGGGACCAAATGTAATGCACTTTGATATCGCGAGGAGGCAACAGAAGTACTATAAAAATACTAGTATCATTTAAAAATCTAGTTGCTCTCAAGGCTCTGCAGGTAAGTGTCCCAGCAGGAGAGAGCACTGGGTCATCCCCTGTCCAGTGCACTCCTGCTGGGGCCCCTGGCACTGGCCACTGTCGGCAGACAGGACACTTGGCTGGACAGACCTTTGCTCTGGCCCAGTCTGGCTGCTCTTATGTTCTAGCACTCTGATACATAGCATAGAAATGCCTTTTTTTGCCTTTCCACCCCCGCAAAAAAAGTTTAATTAAAGTAGGTCAGTTGCACAGATCAGAAATGTATTTCTTCTCTGTGGGAATTAATTCGGCACTTCATTTCTTAATTCTCTTTATAGGATTACATCGTTGGGAAACGATTTACAAACCCCTCCCGCTTTGGCTGTCAGTTTACAGTCGTGGCTCTTTCCACTCCTGCAGGATTTGTGGTTGCTGCAGGGTCTCGCAGATTTCTGTGCTGCATCCTATGGGCACTGTGTTACAGCGACTGGGTCTATAGTTGCGGATGGCCACAAAGTGGGACTTTTTTTGAATAGATAACTTTTTTTCCTTGTTTCCCCTTTTCTCATAAACTGTGGTCTGCTACAAAGGTCACCGTATCAGGGGGTGTGCTGTCCTTCCTTTCCTGCTGTCAGAAGGATCTTATCGCTGTGGCTCTGCATGGCTGGTATGTAATCCTGGAAATTGATAAATAAAAGGGTGTGAAGATAAAAAGCACCCTCTGGAACCTAGACCATGATGTGGTTTTCAGGTTCAGATTCACAGCTCCCTGCATTTTCTTGGTGAAGTCTAAATGTTACCGCCATTAAAGCCAGTAGGGAAAACCTCCCTCACAAAGGAAGTGGCAGACATTCGATTCCTTGCTAGCTAAAGTCATTTACAGCGGAGGTCAGGAAGGCCCTTGCTGGGGCCTGTTACAGCTGGCTAAGCTCTACTAAGCCACGGTATTATGAGATTCTTCATCTGAACATTGAGCACCAGAGAAGCAGCAGCATGTTTAGCCCTGGTGACGACCTGAGGCCTAGTGTAAATCTCGGGACAAAGTCTTGTTTGTCTTCCCTTTCTATTCAGGTTGCCCATGCTCTTGGCTTTCCCTGCCCCACTGCTCACTGTTTGTTTATGGCACTGACGCAGGAAATTGTAACCTCTGCAATTGTTCCTAGTTTGCTGATTATGTGACCACCTGGTTTGCTGGACCAGGGACAAAAGCCCTAAATCCTCCTTCAAGGTCTGAACTCATCTCATTTTGGAGAGTGGAGTGTGTGCTTTATTTTAAGTGTGATTTGTGTGTGACATTATTTGAATTTAAAACAAACAACCTGGTTCTCCCTCCCACGAGGGCATTTGCTCCAGGTGACCCTGCTCCATCACAGCACCTGCCTTGAGGGCAATCCATGCTCATCACTTTCCAGATCTCTTCTAAAGAAGCTGTGTCCGAAAGCACATTTGTGGTTACAAAGCTGGACCCCTCTGTGCTGTGAACTCAATAGGTAAGTCTTCATTTCACAGGGGGCCCTTTTCTTTTCCTTTCCTTTCTTAATTTTTAAAAAAGTTATGGTCGTGATACGTCTTTTTCTCTTAACACAATTAATAAGACTGGGATGTTTCAGCTTGGAAAAGAGATGACTAAGGGGGATATGATAGAGGTCTATAAAATCATGACTGGTGTGAAGAAAGTGAATCAGGAAGTGTTATTTACTCCTTCTCATAACACATGAACTAGGGGTCACCCAATGAAATTAAACAGGCAACAGGTTTAAAACAAACAGAAGGAAGCATTTCTTCACACAATGCACAGTCAACCTGTGGAACTCTTTGCCAGAGGATGTTGTGAAGGCCAAGACTATAACAGGGTTCAAAAAAGAACTAGATAAATTCATGGAGGATAGGTCCATCAATGGCTATTAGCCAGGATGGGCAGGGATGGTGTCCCTAGCCTCTGTTTGCCAGGGGCTGGGAATGGGCGACAGGGGATGGATCAATTGATAATTACCTGTTCTGTTCATTCCCTCTGGGGCACCTGGCATTGGCCACTCTTGGAAGACTGGATACTGAGCTAGATGGATCTTTGGTCTGACCCAGTCTGGCCCTTCTTATGTCCCATGGAGACTGGATGCTGCTTCTTGGGCACTGCCCCTGCACCCCCACAGCGAGGGGCTGGGGGTCCCAGCATGCTGCTGACCCCATGTGAATAACACATCATAGCAGCCTTGGCATAAAAATGTGATGGGCGTCACCAGGGTGATTTAACACACACTGACTGGTTTGCGAGGTTTTACCCCAGGGGTATTAGAGCTCTCTTGGCAAGGAAAGGGAGACAAACGCCTGAGCCTTGAGCCTTGCTCTTTGCCAGAGCGCCATTAGCTGCCAGAGCACTCTGCGTGGGAATAGGGCCAACGTGAGTGCCTTTGCGGCCATGGTATGTACTTGCGTCCTTGCCCATTTGGTCCATACAATGGTGCCCTTAACTGGCCGTGCCAGGCCAATGGAAAGGAGACAGGCTGCTGGGTCACGCTTTACCTGGACCATGTTGCATAATGACTGAGAAAACAATTCTAATGTTATTTCTAGTCATTACAGAGAGTCCATCAGACCCATTCCTGGCTGGCGAGGGCTGGGAAGTGCGTTATTCTGATGAAATTGAATCTTCTGGCCAGCCGCCTTCCCCATCCCCATGAACACTGGGAGCAAGAAGCAAGGCAAACAGCCAGAGATGCAATCCAAGCAGAAGGACTTCTCGGTGTCATGGCCATATGCCTCAGTGAGTAATTAACCATTAACCACCTAGCCGATGAATCTAACAAACTGCTTGTTCAGGGACTGTCCCTGCCACAGACTTCTACAGGGTGGTTAAAATCCTCTGTTAAGAACATCACCCTCGATTACATTCTATAGCCTTTCCAAGTAGCTTCTCTAGCCCGCTAGGAGTTTCACCCCCAGTAAATATTACTGGACTTTTCAGTCAGGCTGAATTAGAAGGAACCCGCTGGTACCTTCGCTGCACGGGACCCTCAGCCGTAGCAGCACCGCTCTCCGATACGCCCTGGAAGGGAGCAGAGTTCCCCTCACAGGCCATGCTCCAGCTGCATCCTTCTGCCCCCATCCTGCCGGGCCAGGGAGGGGAGCTACTCCGGGTCCCCACCTCCCGAATCTGCAGAGAGAGAAGAGGATTTAAAGGCAAGTGAACTGACCTCAGCGTGGGGGAGCTGACTCTTCCCTGACACCAGCTTTTCCCCAGTCTAACCCCACTGAAGCTGCTCTCCAGCTACACGGGGGTAAGAGGAAGGCGAGTCAGGCCCACAGACTCTAAACCTGCCTCCGCCCAACCCCCAGCCTGCCGCAGCCAGAGCTGCCAATGCTGGCCCTGACCTGCAAACGGTCACACCCGCAGGAAGCTGCTCCCTGCCAAGTCCTGCCGAAGTCAGCCAGAGGCACTGAGGGGCCGCTAGCTTGTGGGACCTGCCCTGTCACACTGCCCGTCTCTCTCCCCTTTTCTAAGTTATTGCGGAGGGGGGTTGTTTCCTTCAACGCGTGGTTCTGGATCCCTGAAGCCGGCAGGGCTCTGTGCTTCCCCCTCCCCCCCAGCTCTGTCACCCTCCACGTCCTGGAGCAAACGACTTGGGGCCCGTCTCCCCATGCTGATGACCCAGGTCCTTCTTTCTGCCCAAAGGGCGGCAGGAATGTCTGGGTAGTTGGTTGTTGCTGCGTGTGCTGGCCTGGACCCCAGCGTGTGCGTCTGGAGTGCTCGAGCCTCTGGACACGCACTGCTCAGCTGGGACAAGTGCCTACCAGTCAGCGCTCAGCTGCTTTGTTCCCTGACAGCTCCGGGGCTCTACTGTGCCCCTTCTCCTCACCTCCCAGGGGTCTCCGTGCGCATGACGCTGCGCTCCACACCTCACGCTGATTGTTTTCCAGACACATTCCTGCATTTCGACGTCGGGTCATTTTTCATCCAGAGAAAAACAGGCACGTGGGTGTTTCACCACAGTACAGGACATGCTGCACCAGGGTCACCAATGGCCAGCTGGGCTTTAGGAGAGAGTCTGGGGCTGGCCCAGCCTGAGGTGGGGAAGGTCTCTGATCTTCCAAGCCTGAGAGCTGGCTCGAACCTCAGCACTTGGCTTGCACTCCCTGAGATGGGACACGGCTCACGCGCAATGTTCCCTCTAATTTTTGACAGGCCGTGTGCGAAAAAATTTCTTCTGTGCAAATTGTTGTGCTTCTGTGCAAATGTTTGTGCGTGTGGTGTTTTGCGTGTGCGCAGGGTTTAGGATCTGTGTGCACATGCACACTCGCACAGCTTAGAGGGAACAGTGCTCACACGGCCCCTGGAGAAGCCAGGGAGGGTGAGTTTTCATTTCCAATAGCCCCCAGCTAGTGGACTGAGCACAGGACTGGGAGCCAGAAGACTCAGTCTCTCTTCCTAAAACTGACTCGCTGTGCAATTCTGGGAAAGCCGTTTAGGCCGAATTCTCCAGAGTGTCCATTAATTCAGGGGACCCAGGTTTGGCACCTGCCCCCTTGGCTCTAGCTGGAGCCTGCTGGAAGTTGTTGCACGGAAATACAAAAGAGGTCTGGTGCTGCACAGACACCTAACAGGAAAAATCACACAAGGCTGCAACATCCAACAGAGAGCTTGGCAGCTGCTGTGGAAAGCCTGAGCCAAGCCATACAAGATGTCTCAGGATTGTAGGCCACCTGCAGCAGCGTGTGAGAGGAACTGCCAAGCCCTGGGCTCCAGCTAGCACAAAGCAGATAGGGGGCTGGATCTCATGATTCCTGCTTGGCAGCCATGGAGTGTCCGGCCAGGAGTCTGGTTTGTATCTTATCCAGAGAATCGAGAGGCAGTGCTGAGCCCTCCAGCCCATTGCCTGGAGCCAGAGCAGGATTGTGCCCTATGCCACATTCTCTAGTGCTTTGTCCAGCCCAGTTTTAAATGTTCCCAGCAGTGGGGCTCCCACCCCTTGCCTTGGGCGGCTGCTCCACTCCCCACCAGGTGTCCCCTAGTAGTCAGCCTCAGCGTTCTTTCTCTCCGTGTCCCCCCTTCGCTCCTCCTCGGGCCACACTCCAAGATTCTCAGAGCCAGCCAGCTAGGGACAAACCAGCCAACACTGCTTTGCAGGCAAGCACACGGACCCTGTGGAGGCACGCAAGAGCAGAAGAGCTCTCCCCTGCCTGTGCAGGGCCAGGCACAGCTGATCTGATACCAGTCAGCTCTGTGTTCTTGGGGAACAAGGGCGCAGTATCCAGCCTGTCTGACTCATGAAAGACACCCCACCCCCCCAGCCGCTGCCTAAACAAAAACCAATCCGAGAAAAGGCTTACAGAGAGCCAGGGGAGACACACCTAGACCCCTCCTGACAAGGATGACAAGATTAAGGCAACTCCTCTAGCCTCATCTGCATGGAAGATGGGACAGGGAGGCATCTGCATTAGCATACAGAATGGAGAACAGAGAACCGCACTGAACTCTGGGACCAGAAAAACAGGGAAGCACTGCATCATGGAGGATCTCTGCTCCAGATGTTAATGAACCTACGCCTGCACACACCCAGCTCAGCAGTTATCAGACCAATTCTAGTAATGAATCCTTGATTGACATCCAAAATACTGAAGCAGCCTAATTGCATTGTGAGCTCCCCAGAAGGAACATCATCCATAGCCAAGAGTGATCAGCTCCTACTGACTAGCCTAAAGAAAACCCTTGAGTCATCAGTTTACCCATAAACGAATCTAGTGTTCTCCCTTGAACCACTGTATTTCCCCTATAAAAAACCCTACTCACCCTCCAGTCAGTGTTCTGATGCTTGGATCCAAACTCTGCATCAGTTGCACTGGTCTCCATCTTCTCCTGACTGACCGTGCTGTGGGCTCTGCCTGTCTCCTGCCCTCAGGACCCTGAGCTACCCCATCCCCTGGGAACCCCGACCAGTTCAAGCTTCATGGAGCTGTGGAGATCCCTCCCTCCCTCTCTCTGTTTTCTTTTCTACCTCAGGTATTAACCTTTAATAATGTAACTGTTATGTTGGTTTAGGCTCTCCTTGGGTAGTTATCACTATTATTCAATAAATAACTTTTATGGTTAAGCTGGTTGCTTCTCCCCCTCTCTCTCAACTTTACTCTTTTGTGTTTTTAGCTTCTCCCATTTACTCTGCAGGAACGCTTCTTTTACCGAAGCTAAAGATCCCTGCAGAGCCCAAAATCCGGTGGGGTTTGCTCATCCAGTGGGTTACTACCCGTACAATTGTGACGTGGAAGTGGGATAGGGACGTGCTGAACCTGGGACATACGAGGGTGGCAGCCTGGAAGTGCTCTTCGACCCCGCCTGCTCAGGCTTGCTCTGTTCCGGTGCGGTACCTTTGGCACTTACGGGTGGCAGCTTGAACGTGCTGCTTGGCCCAGCCCATTGGGTCCAGGGAGACCAAGGGGGTCAGCTGGAGAGAGCTGATTGACCCAGTCTGCTCAGACTTGCTCTGTTAGTGTGTGTGTGTGTTCATCTGATTCTGGGGCTGACGGAACCCACCCTAGGGAACCTAGGTCCTGCAGGACAGCTCCATGGGGAGGGGACTTGCAGAAGGGACAAATAGAGCTCCATATGAGAACCCAAGTGACAGAAGCAGTACATCGATAGACTTACAGAACCCCCCTCCCCGCTCCCGAAGTGTAACCCTAATAAATGAGCATACCCCAAAGTAACGGGTACATATGGTAACACAGCGTGGCCCATAGCTGGCCCTGCCCTGACACAGTGGTTGGTGGGTGGGATGCTGTGGGAGGCCATGTGGGCTAAGCAGGGTAGCGGAGAGGGTATCTGATTAGGGCCAGGATTCCTGTTCAAGGCCCTCTCAGAAAAGAGAGCTTTGAACAAAACTTGGAGGAGGCGAGAATGGGGGCCGACCAAGCCTGGCAGGGGTTCCCAGTGCTGGAGCTGGGTGGAAGAAGGGCATGCCGTCAATGGGGAGCCCTGTAGGAGATGGGACATCACGATGTGTATATGTCAGTCCTGTGGACTCCAGGACACAGAAAGCTTCCATATTAATTCCAGCACCCAGCTGTATGAAAATGGGCCATTTTACAACTCACCCTTCACAGACACTAGCATGGGGATTGAGTACAACCCTGTTCCAGGTCTAGGGACCCAGTGGCCAGGACCATCTGCATGGGAGTAGGTTACAATCTAGGAGAGCAGCCCCAGGGGGACTGAACCCCCACAGTCTGTCCCATGGAGGTGGGCTGCAACCCCAGGCCTCTGGTCTATAAAACTATGATGGGTGTGGAGAAAGTAAATAAGTTATTTACTCCTTTTAATAACACAAGAACCAGGGGTCACCCAATGAAATTAATAGGCAGCAGGTTTAAAACAAACAAAGGAAGTGTTTCTTCACTCAACGCACAGTCAACCTGTAGAACTGTTTGCTAGAGGAGGTTGTGAAGGTCAAGACGAAAACAGGGTTCAAAAAACAACTAGATAAGTTCATGGAGGATAGGTCCATCAATGGTTATTAGCCAGGATGGACAGGGATGATGTCCCTAACCTCTGTCTGCCAGAAGCTGAGAATGAGTGACAGGGGATGGATCACTTGATGATTCCCTGTTCTGTTCATTCCTCTGGGGCACCTGGCACTGGTCACTGTCGGAAGGCAGGATACTGGGCTGGATGGACCTTTGGTCTGACCCAGTCTGGCCATTCTTATATTCTGATGCTGAGTTTCCTGCACTCACGCTGGGTGTGAGTGTCTCACTTCCTGATCTGGTTTATTCAGGAAAACTCCAAGATGCTAGCTGGCCTCCTGCCCTCATTTCAGACTCGGTCTCTAAGAGGTTCTTGAGGGGAAGATTCCAATGGAATCCGTTTCACAGCTGTGACTGACAGCACTTAAAATTGTATTTGCACATACAGGATAAAGCTGCAGATGCTGCTTGCAATCTCACCCCCCGAGCTCCTACAAAAGAGGGTCACCCTTCCTGAGCTTCCCAAGAATGAATGTAGCAACCTCAGCACTTCAGTGCTAGCTTGCTGCTTCTGAGCTCCAGCTGAATAGGTGAAGAATTCATTATACCCTTGGTTCATTTGTGCCTCCAATTATCTCCTTGGGACAATAGGAAGGGAGTGCAGCTGAAGGTTCCATTCATAACAGCACAAGCGGAGGA